GTAGACCAGGGTGGCCTTGAACTCACAGAGATCTGCCTGCCTCTGCCTCCCGAGTGCTGGGATTAAAGGTGTGCACCACTACGCCCGGCTTAAATTTAATTTTTAAAAGGACATTGGGGGACACAAATCATACTCTATAGACCATATGTATATGAAATGTCATTAAATTGTGCATAGAGGGGTAGTGGGGGAACATGAGTAGAGGGGAATGGAGCTAAATGTCATTAAACTCCATATTATATGAAAAAATCTCATAAACTCAATAAAATGCAAAAAAGTTTAGACTTTTGCAAATTTAATTTTTAAAAGGACATTGGGGGACACAAATCATACTCTATAGACCATATGTATATGAAATGTCATTAAATTGTGCATAGAGGGGTAGTGGGGGAACATGAGTAGAGGGGAATGGAGCTAAATGTCATTAAACTCCATATTATATGAAAAAATCTCATAAACTCAATAAAATGCAAAAAAGTTTAGACTTTTGCAAAATAGAATATGTGTATACAAGCAATAGTTGTCAATGTAAATATTACTGATTTTATCTCCATTTGATTATTTTTGTGTTTTTATATTGTTATTTATGAGAGGTTCCAGAGATTTCATTATATTAGTGCAACTGAGTCTATTAGTAGTTCTTTTTTTTTTTTGGTCTTTTTGAGACAGGGTCTCCCTGTAGCCCCAGCTGTCCTGGAGCTCACTATGTAGCCCAGGCTGGCCTTGAACTCACAGAGATCCGCCTGCCTCTGGCTCCCGAGTGCTCGGATTAAAGGCGTGCGCCACCACGCCCGGCTTATTAGTAGTTCTTTTAATTTCATTGTCACAGCATAAAAAGTGTTCACAAAAATATTTCATAATTTTTTTTCTTAGAACGATTTGAATTTTTTTTAGAGATTTCAGTTCATTTGCTAGTGGAGAATGAATTAGCTTTTTAACTTAGTGAAGAGAGAATTGGAAAATGTACACTGAATTTCAAAAGTTGTTTTCTGATTTAGGATTTTACTGTTGCTTAAATAATTTACATTGGGTTGAGATGTGGATTTTCAAATATTGTAATTTATTTGTGTCCCATAAGAGTATAAGAAAGCTCTGTATGCTTCTCAAGATTTTCCTTCATTATAATTTTGTAGGAATTTTGTTTTCTTTAAATACTTTTTAAGCTATTTCATTAAAGTTCTTCTTTTGCAGGGTGTTATTTATATGGTCACAGGACCTTAAAATTTTAAGAAAATATAAAAGATCGATGATACCTTTTTCAGGTCAAACTGTTAAAAAAGCAAGTAAATAGATGAATAGGCCACTGGACTCAGTGCTTGAAATGCACATCATTAAAATGTACATCTCTTCCTTAAATGGGGATTTAGTGACTCAGTCAACAAGTATTGTTTTGATCAATAAGTGTGCACTTGGCTATATATGCTAGACCCTTTTCTAAGTGATGGAGGTGCAGCAAATAAAACAAACAAGAGCCCCATTTGCCTTTATAGGCTTTAAACAATTAAATTAAAAAAATAAATAAAGTATATAGTGTGTTAGATGGTGCCAGTAATTACAGGGAAAATAGAGGAGAGACGTTGACAACCTTTTCAAGGACTTTTACCATGAAGAGAAGGGCATGGAGTAGCAGGTGGAAGGAGAATGAGACCAAGAGAGTGTTTTCCTAGAAACTGGAAAAGCCTTGCATCTACTGGAGTGATCCAGTAGAGGGGGACAACTGATGTATGGGAAACAGAGGGGAGTGTGCTAAGTGCCTGTCCTCAGTAGGTGAGGAGAGATGTGGTAAGAGGGAATGGTTCCGGGGCTTAAGAGGGTAGGGCCTTGGCCAGCCCTTCAACCAGGGTCTGGGGAAGGAAACAGAGTGGAAGGAAACAAAGTGGTCTGGACAGTGTCATCAGTGTGCCATCCTCACTACTTAAGGGGACATACAGTGACACAGAGGACATGCCAGGTAGCACACTGGTACTATCTAGGGCTGGCTTCAGATTCCTTTCTACTCTGTAGACCTGGTGAGCTAGAATGAATCACAAAGAGGCAATAAAAGACAGTTTTTCTTATTTTGTACAAGATTTTGCCAGAGGCGGACAGCAGCCTGGTTCTTGTCTCCTTTCCATAGGCGCCATCTTGGTTCCTGACAGCCTTTCCCAGGACACATTGCCTTGTGGAGCAACAAGAATGAAGGGAATGCCACAGATGTGAATCAGAAGTTATCCCTGTCCCATTTTACTTACACTTTTACTTGGATTCTTAGTCTGGAAGCTCTGTCTTCTCTAGTTAACCTGCTTCCTTCTTCCCCAGTTTTCCCCTAGGACTCGTTTTTTCCTTGACTCATAGCAGAGGATGAGTGCTGGGTGAGGTGAAATGAGCTGTGACAGTTCCGTAGACTTCACTTTACACTCTGGAGTCTATGTGAGGTCCTTATCCCAGCACTGCACCTGTATTTCTCCCTAACTTAAAATGTCCAGTACACATACTGTGACAGTATACTGCTTTAGTTAAGTCTTTTAATTACACCTTAACAAATTGTGCTTTTCCTGTTTTGACTTTCCTCACATCTTCTCTCTCACTGGGTTATTTTTTTCCCTCCTTTTCAGATATATGGATTCTTTCAAGGACCCAAATCATTCATCCCTTTCCCCAGGAAGAAACCTACTTCTAAATCCTCTCTTTCTGCTCTACTATACTGATTGCTTGCACAAAGTTAGAATTAGGTTCAGAGGCAGGTGACAGAAATCTCCAAACAACAGTGACTTAATGTAGAAATTCATTACTTCACACACTGAAGTCTGAGGAAAGGCCGTTTAGGGAACACGTAGGGATGCTTTGAAGGTGAAAAGAAATGCAGACACTTCCAACTCACTGTCTTCTGTGTAGTCCTTGTCTTCCTGGGTCTGAGCTGAAGCTCCAGAAATTACATCTAACTTCCAAGCACCAACCAAGGAAGGAACCAAGATGGACATATCCTTCCTATATAGAACATTTTCTAAAAGAGAGGTAGAGTACTTATGCTTTCATAGTCTTAGCCAAAACTTAGACACACGAACATGCCTCGTTGGAAAGGAATCTAAGAATATAGCCTTTATGTACAACTATAAATTCTTATTTCTCAGAATGAAGGGGAGAATGTGTATTAGGATGCAATTAGCAATCACTGTCACTCACCAGATTTTGTCAACTATCTTGTCCGGAAAAAAAATTATGCTTCTTTAGAATAGGGAGCGCAGCCTCATATCCAGAACAGCGGCAGACATTGAGTCCTGAGTGAACTGCGGAATGCCATCATTTTATAGATGTGAAAACATAGGCAAGAGAGGATACCTTCTTTACTAAAGTAGCATTTAGTTGGTGATGGTCAGTTAGAATCCGAGTGTTTGTATTTAGTTCTTTATCCTGGGTTAAGGCTTTTAATGTTACGTTAGATGTTCTCAGGGTTATCACATATTAGTGTGGATTAAAGAGGTTAATTGAGGTTCATTGTAAGTTATTTCAATAGTTGTTATAAACAAAGTTGTGAATGATTAAAAGGGAGGCTATGTAGAATCATAGGTAAGGCACTAAAGCCATGAACTCTGAATATGGAAGTGTAACTTACGAGGTTTTAAAACTTCATTTGTTTATTTAAAATTTATTTATTATTGATTTACTTATTTTGTGTGTAAGTGCAGGTACGTGAATTCCAGGGCAAGTGTAGAGGCCAGCAGATAGCATTCCAGAGGCAGTTCTGTCCTACCACTTTGTAGGATCTGGAGAATGAACTCAGGCTGTCAGGCCTGCAAGCAAGTGCGCCTGCCTGTTGAACGTCTAACTGGTGTTTTGTTTGTTTGTTTTGACACAGACTATGTAGAGCTGGGATTACAGGCATGTGCCATCACACTCAGTTTGAGGCCAGATTTTCTAAATTCAAATCCTAACTCCACCCCTTTCTAGTTGAACAAAATAGGTCAAGTTACTTAATCTCCCTGTGCTTTAGTTTTCGTAAATGTTCCTTAACTTAGAAAGAATAATGATTAGGTGTTGTGGGAACATAATGAATTAATATGTGTATAACATACTTAGAAGAGTGTCTTGACACAAACATTTAGGAACATTTTCTATTTTAACATATATTATAAATTATTCCTATAATTAAATGACACTTTTACTTATTTGTGACTAGGAAAGAGAGGAAGGCCTTCTAACAAGTCCTAACATGTGTAGGACTGTGCATAAAATATAGTCCATAGTCATATGTGGCAGATATGTCTGCCAAGCCGTAAGTCCTGCTGGAGAAATGGTGAAGAATGTCTAAATAAATAAAGTTTAGACCAGATCAAATTCCACAACATTTCTCTCCCAGGTGTAGTGAATTCACTGGGAGAAGTCAGGACTCAGCATGCTATCACGAAGGTGGCCATGACTTATTGCAGTGAAAGTACGGAAAGGAAAAGAGAAAATGCCTGTGGGGTGATGGCCAGAGGAAGTCAGGTGTAAGATTTGAAGCCTCCTGAGTCACAGAGCCCATGCTTCATCTCTCCAGCAATGAGTTGTGACAACAGACAAACTGTCCACCAGGGAAGCTAATTACAGACAAGGTTTTAGTAGGGATGGCCACATAGGTATGCCATGCCTAGCTTGTACCAAATTTTCTGACTTCTAGGGAGAAAGCAGGTATTTAGCATAAATCAGATTGTTTACCTAAAAAGCTCAGGCACAGTGAGCCGTTTTTCTCAGAGAATAATAGGAACTCTCCCCAAATTCAAGTTCCCAGATACCAGCCAAGGGAAAAGCTTATACACAAGATTTCCACATGATAATATATTTTCAACCAGCT